CATTACGCATAGAAATAGCTATAGCTCTATTGCAGCTAGTAATAGAGTCGGGTCCTAAGGATTTAGTAGGTATAATACTAGGAATATATAATAGGAGCTATATAGCTATTCTATAAGTATAAAGTAGATATAGTATAACTATATAAGTAGGAAGGCTATATAGGCTTATCTAGAGGTCTTAGTAAGTACGGCCTATAATTAGGCTATATATTTAAGATAGTTAGGTCTTAGGCGATAAGCCTTAGATAGGGTTATAGGCTAGGCTATATACTAGGCTATAGGCGGTCTTAAGCTATAGCTATAAAGTAGGCCCCTCTATTTTAATCCTATTAATATATATAAATAGGGCTCTTAGTAAATTTAAATATATTATAACTTAATTAAGCTTATAATAATCTATATTTAAGAATTAAAGACTATAAATTAATATTTCTTCTTTAACTCTTCTTAATAATATTAGATAAAAGTATTATTTAAATTATATTAAGAATATTAATTAATTATTTATATAAATTATTTTATATTTCTAAATTAAAGAATATATATATTTTATTTACTAATAGTAATAAAATTATCTTTATTTTAATTTTAAAACTTATTATAATATATATAACTAGACTTAATAAATAGTATTTATAAGAGTTATAAGGAGTTAGAGTCTTATAACTACTCTAGTAGCTTAAATCAAAGCTAAACTATAATAATATATATCTTATAAAATAGAGAAGAATCGTAGCTATAGAATAGTATAATTATTATAATATTCTATTTAGCCGTTCTATAGTAATAAACGTTTAAGTCCTCTTATACCCTATTAGCTAGAGCTTAAATCTAACTCTACGTCCCCTATAGGTCTAGAGGTAGTCTAAGCGCCTTATCTATATATAGCTACTAGGGGTTAGTCTATTATATATAGAGGGCACTCCTTAGACCTATTTTTTAGGTTTTTAGACTTAATAATTATCTAATTCTAATTATACTTATAAATCCTTATTATATAGTAATTCTTATCTAATTTATATACTCTTAATTTTTATAAATTAATACCTTCTAAGATATGCTTTACTCCTATTAAGAATAATCTAAGTACTTCTCTTAATTAATTATAACCTTCTTCTTAATTACCCCTCGACTTATTTACCTTCGATCTAAATGAAAAATATACTATTTTATAGCTCTTATTTAGGGCTAGAAGAATCTTCGATCTATTTCTTAATCTAATATCTCCTTCTTAAGATATAATTACTTTTATCTCTCCTTTCCTCTTATCTATTATTATTATTAAGAGGGCTTTACTACTTATATAAACCCTAATCTAGTACGTCCGCTATATTTACGAGCTCTAAATAGGTAGGGTATCTA